CCAATACAAATGAATGAAGAACAATTAAAATTTTGTAAACAAGAATTACAAGAGTATCTAGAAAAAGGATTAATCAGACCGTCAAAATCACCTTGGAGCTGTACTGGATTTTATGTAAATAAAGCCTTAGAGCAAGAAAGAGGAGCTCCAAGATTAGTAATAAATTATAAACCTCTCAATAAGGTATTAAAATAGATTAGATATCCTATACCTAATAAACAAGATTTAATTGAAAGATTGATTAATGCCAATATATTCTCAAAATTTGATATGAAATCAGGATATTATCAAATATCTATAAAAGAACAAGACAGATACAAGACAGCTTTTGTAGTACCATTTGGGCATTTTGAATGGAATGTAATGCCTCAAGGACTGAAAAATGCTCCAAGTGAATTTCAAGAAATTATGAACAATATATTTTATTCATATATGAATTTCTCAATAGTCTATCTAGACGATGTATTATTTTTTTCAAAAGGAATTAATCAGCATATACAACATCTAAATAAATTTATAAAATTAATTAGACAAAATGGATTATGTGTTTCAGCCAAGAAAATAAAAAATTTTCAAGATAAAATTAGATTCTTAGGATTTAATATTTATCAAGGTACAAAAACACCAATACAAAGGTCCATAGAATTTGCGGATAAATTTTCAGATCAGTTAAAAGACAAAACTCAATTACAAAGGTTCTTAGGATGTTTAAATTATGTAGCAGACTTTTTACCAAATATTAGAACAATATGTGCCCCTTTATATAAACGACTTAGGAAAAATCTCCAACCATGGGATGAAGAAATGACAAAAAATATTCCAATAAGTAAAAATATTCGTCAAAAGTCTTCCTTGTCTTGGAATACCAGATCCTTCAGCTTCCCTAATAGTAGAAACAGATGCCTCAGACCTAGGATATGGGGGAATATTAAAACAAAAGTTACCAGAATCTACAATAGAACAAGTTATAAGATATTATTCTGGAATATGGCATCTTACACAACAAAAGTATTCTACTATCAAAAAGGAAATTTTAAGCATTGTTTTATGCATACAAAAATTTTAAGATGATTTATTCAACAAAAGATTTTTAGTAAGGACGGACTGCAAAGCAGCTCCTTCTGTTTTACAAAAATATGTTCAAAATTTAGTTTCAAAACATATTTTTGCCAGATGGCAAGCATTATTATCTAACTTTGATTTTGAAATACAACATATAAAAGGTGAAAAGAATTTTTTTACCAGATTATTTAACAAGAGAATTTTTACAGGAAAAATATCAAAAATGACTAGCGCTGATTATGACCTACCAAAAAAGAGTGAACCAGAAATACCAAAAACTCCTACCAGAGATAAAGGTAAAAAACCAATGACTTGCTTACAAGTATTACAAAATAAAGCTCAGATCCAACCACCAGAATTAACCAAATAATATACAGTTTTAGCCAAACCAGGACAAAATTCCCAGATAGCCACTACTCAAACCAGAAAATTACCATTATGGGCAGAATCTGCCTATAAAAGACCCACAATAACTGATAAGATTCCAGAGTATTTTGAAAAACCATACGGCCTTCCTATAATGGAAATAGAATCAGAATGGTTTAAATTAAACCGTTCTGAAATAACAAAAAGAGTATTTCCTCAAGATTGCCATGTAGTTCCCTCATCATCAGAACAAAAAAGGGAATTTTATGAGCTAATCCTTATTGATTCAAAATTAATAGAATTAACTCATAAGAGAAATGAGAAAAAAGAAATTATTTTTTCAAAATTCAAAATTTGTCAGATACTCACTCCAAAAGAGTGGGGACAACACTTATATTGTTATCAAAAATTTACAATAGAATATCAGCCTCCACAATATAATTACTTTGATTATATAAAAGCATGGGAGAAATTTCTATTTCTTCAACCAGACACTCATTCCTAGTTCATTTGGTTCAGGAAAGGAATTTCTTTATATTTTTCAAAATGGTTTTCAGCTTGGTTCCATAACTTTGGGCCAGTAAAACAGATTCTACCAGAAATAGCTCAGATTGCCTTAGCCCATTTTCAAGAAAAAGTCAATTTTCAAGAACCATACAAATTCATTTCCTTCATAGCTTCCCAAGGTATCTCATGGATTATGATGTGGCAATATGATTCAGCCAAACTGGAATATGATGCCTCAATACAATTGTTAATCAGAACCATAAAAGTTAAGTGGTAGATTAATTTTGATCTAGATTTATTAACCACCAAAAAAATTATGCAATGGATACAAAATAATGTTCAACATCCTCCATTGAGTGAAAATGTGATAAAAGATAAACAAAAGCAGACCTTTTTACAACAGAAAGCAAGATTTCTGGCTAGCCTAAGTACAGCCGGAAGTGAAGAAGAATTCAAAAAGATCATTGAAACCATATCTCCAGAGGTTACACATATATCCTCTGACAAAGACAACAGAAGAAGCCTCAGTCCAGCCGGAGATGATGACTACGGCTATTTTGACAATGAAGATGACTGCTATGGAATCTCCCTATAGTAACAAAAGACGATAGACTTGACAAAAGAAAAAGAAGATTTGACAAAAAAAAGAAAAAGACAAAAGAAAAAGGAGATTTGACAAAAGAAAAAATTATTATTTGGAATCTTTGAATAGTAATTTTTCTTACTATAAATTGTAAGCTCAAGCTCATTTGAAAGGAGAAGCAAAACTATCAGCCTCAATATCCTTAAGAAAATCCTCTCATTGTAATAGTCTTGACGTCTATTTGAGAAGTTTACAAGAAATTTTATACTACAATATTGTAAGTTTTATCAAAGTTTCAATATATTATCATTTTCATTATGTTTACTCTTATTTTGAAATCAGAACTATATATATATATATATATATATATATATATATATATATATATATATATTAAGCTATGTTCAATTTTTTGTACCCATGTCTCTGTTGATTCTCATATTAAATATATATCATCATGCAAAGTTAGGAAAGACCATAAACATTAACAAAATTTACAATAAAATTACATGCACGAAGTTGAGTCAACTCTCCATTTCACTAAAAAAAATTAATTTAATAACACTCAAAAAAGTGAACTAAACTCTAATTTAAAATACAAGTGTTTATTTGTAAATCATTTAATTCAATTCCTTTTATCTTCAATCCTTTATTCTATAAATTCATGTCTTAATTGTTGAATATGAAAACATCATCATTATTATTATTATTATTTAAAATACGTATATCTTTATTAATTTTTAACCTTTTTATGTTTTGTGAAATTTCTTATACTATTAGTTAATTTTAAATTTCCTATTACATTATTTCTATAATAATTTTTTTTAAGATTTTAAAAATTATTTTTTTTTCTTTTTTTCTTTTTATATCAAAGTTTCTTTTTAAGATTAGCTATTTACTTAATGTAGGTCCCAGTTTTTTATGTTTCACCTATTATTTTTAAATGTCTGATTTAAGTTAAAAATCTATTTTATAAACTCCTTAATAGTAAAGTCTTTTAAATAAAATAAAATAAAAACTATTTCTAAATATACTTATTGATTTAAACTTAAATCCGTGTGTGTTTAGTAAGTATATGATCTTAAAAATATTGTTATATAAATTTAGTATGACAATAATTATATAACTTTTTATAGGATTAAACTTTGCAAATGATCCAAAATTTTTATTGTTTAATTAAATTTTATTTTAAAAAAAACTTGCTAGATTCAAGCCCAGGGTGAATCAGATTGTGTAGCATGGTCCTGTTAGCTAGACAATGTTAGCATTGGAAGATTTAATTATAAAATTATAGTTTTTTTATTTTATTTTCAAGACCTAATTAATTACAAAATTATAAATTAATTTAACCTAAAATAAAATATTAAATCCACTTAAAAAATAACTTAACAATTATTTTAATTTTATTTAGGAAAAATTTTATAGATAATAATTTCCTCACCTCAAGAATGTCAAATATAATTGATTTTATACTTAAATATGTTTGTCATTATGATTAAATTTAGTATTAGTATTTAAAAAAAGCTTATATTAATTAAGTTTTTATAATTTTTAAATGAATTTATATTACTACATAGTGATGACCGCCGTATATATATAAGTATGACATGTTAATGATTACTTTAAAGTGATAGATACATGTCATGTAATTAATAAGTGATAATAAAAAATATTTTTAAAATAAAATTTTAAATATTAAAATTATTTAAAATATAAAAAATAAATTAATATTTTATTAAAAATAAAAAGCAAATAAAAGAACTTTAACTCATTACATCTCTAACTAGAACTAACAATACATATTAAAGAATTATTAATTTAATTTATATATATAATTAAACTATATTTTATTTTAATTTTAATCATTATTTTGTGTGTGAATCAGTTAATTAAATAAATAAGAATACATGTATCTACTAGAGATATTTAAATAATATATATATATATAATACCCAACTTATCTAAACTTTTTATACAGTTAGATGAGTTGGGGTATTAATTTTTTGTGGAGTAAAGAAGATCTTCCTTCAAGAGTGAAATTTGAACTCATTCATCCTTTTAAAAGATATGAATCCAACTTTTACTAACTGGACCAACTTTGATGGACTAATTTCAAAGTTTTATTAATCAGTCAAATATAAATACTTTCCTAATCTTTATAAAAGTTAATTTTTTTATATAAAAAATGAATATATGTTCGTCCTTATCGATTAAGTATTTTGAAGAATAATAGAAGCTCTAATCTATACATAATAAAAATTAGATATTTTTCAAAAATATGTACATAATTAAAAATTATAAAATATAAAAAAGATCAAATATATATTTGTAATCAATCAATGTGTATAGTGTACACAAATAACATGCCGATAAATCAGATAATTAGAACCACCAAAACATAACCTCATTTGAACTAACAATATGAATATAGAAAATTGATATCTTCAAGATGAAAAAATGAGGTACCAAAAATGACATAAATCTAAGGAATGTAATCATGTTCTATGATTGGTCTAGTACGAGTCCCAGATGCCAATGGTACTTTGGTATCACCAATGTATGTAATATCCAAGGTTTCATTGCTCTCAGCTACACGTTCCAATTCCAGTATCTTTGATCTTTGTTTAGTTCCTCTCACTCCAGCAGCAACCAATAGAACCAACATGATCAACAACAGAATCCCAGCAACCACAGATGCAACAACTATCCTCAACATGAAGTTGTTCTTCCCACCACCTTGATCTACCCCACTAGATGTCGGTGATGGGGCATTTGATTCCACAACTATGGAGAAGTGCCCTTGTTGAACTGTTGAACACATATTTCCTGGTAATAGAATATCAAATTGCACTGAACCATGCAAATCAAAATACGCACACTTGGGAAATGAACCAAAGGGTGCTGGTTTCACATCAGGGAAATTAATCAAAACAGGCTTATAATAAGAAGCTCTTATATCCAATTCAGGTAATTCTGAAGCAGACAAATTGGCGCCGTTGTAGGCCAAGAGGCCCAAAACAGGAGCTAAATATGAATAACCAGGTAAAGGGTAAAATTTATTAGACCAATTACCCAAGTTTTGGTACACCAAAACAAGTCTCTCCACATGAGGCTGCTCAACAATAACCCCAATTGGGATCTCAAATTCTTCGTAGCTATGAACACCTCTTGTCCTCAAACTACCACTCCTAAGCCTCATTGCCGAAACTTTTATCCCTGTTAGGTTGGTGGGCACTTGAGCATCGTAAGGTACCCCAGTTCTTGGGCTGAAAAGTGCCTTAAAGGCCAACTCTTGAATATGGGAATCTAACAAACGAGCCGAGACAACAGCATTAGGTGGAAGCTGAGCACTTGAAAGTAGAACAGAAAGAAGGCATGGCAATAAGAACCGCACTAACAAAATGGTTCTGACCCTCATCACGATCACATGTGTATAATCAAAATCAACCAAAACTCACGATCACAGAAGGGGGGATTACGTCCATTAATTCTTCTGCATTCCCTTCACCATAATAGAAGGAAAAAAATCCTTAATTTTTCTATTATGCATAAAAGATGCTAACCATAATGGTAAAGCAATAAATCTTATTAAATGGAAAAAAAAAGAAAGATATAAACCGATAGTAAATAGCATTTCAAAAAAAAAAAAAATCAAGTCAAGGCACTAGTTAGTTGCTTTTGAAGGGTTCAAAAACAAATCTTGAAGTTCTTATATAATCAGTTTGGTATTTGAAATTCAACGAGAAAAAAAAAAGTTAATCTTTGATCAGGAGAGAGAAAGAAGAAAATGCGTGAAAAATGGAAGATACAAATATGGGAAAAAATCAGCTGAGATTTAGGTGGAGATGTTGGGCGTGAGTTTGGGAGTGCATGGATTGACATTGTTCTCTCATCTTTGTAGCTTGGGTGTTGATACGGTATTTGACATGAAATATAATATTTGAAGTCATATTTAATTATTTTTATCTTTTATATTTTCCACATACACTTAATCTCTTTTATTTCTTGTAATTTTAAGATATACGAGATATTCAGTATCATAAAAAGGATATGTTACTAATATCGCCTTAATTCTGTTAAAATACGGTATATATATTATAACACTAAATATTGTTAATTAAGCAAAAAATTAAATATTGAATAATTTTAATATGTTTAGTATAACGTATACTTTTGAATTTTTTATTTTATTATATATTATTTTTCAATTATTAAAAATTTAAAAAAAAGTGTATCTTAGTGACACATATCTGCATTATTTTAAAAAAAATGGTGATGGGATATATAAAACACCAGTGTATGGAACTTTAAAAAAAAACACTTAATTGCGCATACAAAGTGATAAAGAAAAATTTAAGGGAGAACAATAAATATTTAATAGAAAAAGAAAATGACTTTAATCAAAAGTGAAAAAAAGAAGAAGGAAAAAGTGTTGCAAAATGAGGGGGTCCAAGAGCAAAACTTATGCCAAATGCAGTGATTGAGCGAGAATCACCAGTTACAATAGAGCAATAACTTAAGGGCTGACCGATGTTAGTCAATGCTGGACATTTGACTGCCTAAACAGTAACTTTGAAAGGAAGGGGAGTGATCAAAATATTAATAAATTAACAGTATAAGAATAACTTATAATTGGAACCACCACATGACCAAAATAAAATAAAAATTAAAACCATGTGAGTGTCCACCGCACATTAAATTATGAATTGGCATTATTTAAGCAACAGTAAAAGAAAATAACTATCACAGAAAACACCTCAAAATATAAGTTGTTTTCACATTATTTTTAAAATAATTTGAAAAAAGTACTAATTTGGTTAAATGACATTTAATTCTTTGTATGCCTATATTTACATATATTTTTTAAATAATCATAATTAAAATGTTAGGAAGTAAAGTACATTTACAGTATGTTAGTTTTTGAGTTTTTTCTTGAAAAAAAGAAAGAAAGGAAGAGGTCAACTTAATTCGTTTCATGATTCTTGAAATATGAAGTTTAGTTGTTTTTGTTATTATTTTTTTTAACCTAATTCAATATGTCATCTCACAATGCGACCTTGTCGTTTCTAACAACAGTTTTAATTATTTTGTTTAAACATCGATTTGAAAATGAAACTAAACCAGCTGAATTTTGACCTTATAATTAGAATAATGGTTCACACACACCTAAATAAAAGAAAAATGCTGTATAAGAAAGTGGAAAAAGAGTATTATATATCTTCTTTTTATGAAGGACTCTTTTTGGAGTCATGCTCAGAAATACTTTTGTTCATTCACTTGTTATATTTTATTATTAACAATAATGTTATTCATTTACCCTGTTTTAGGGTGTAGGAGGTAAAAAAAGAGAGAGAACTTATAAAAAATAAATAAAGACACAGAGAGTGAAATACATGATAGAAAAATTAAAAAGGAGATAAATAAATAAATAAAATACCACACCTTTTATTGTCAATAAAAATACTATACAAAGATGTTCTTTTCCTCTCTCTTTTTTTTGGGGTCAAAATTGTTGCCATTTTACAGAAACTAAGCAATGGAATTAGAAGCCCAACACAGCTTGCTTCTCCTGATTCTGGCCTTCTAAGCAGGAGCCCAATGATCTCTAAACCCACTCCAACATTAAACATTGGTGATATTTAAAACAAACAGAAAGCGGTGGGCATAGTAATATGTAACTAATCAAGAGAAATGCTGGGAATTTATTTTTAACTTTTTAAAAAATTATTACATGTAACAAAATTATTAAATTAAATTTAAGAATTATTAAATGGCAAACAAGACTCCTTTTTTTATAATATTCAATAAATTTTAACTTATAAGTAAAGGTGTATGAGAAAGAGTATGTTGCTAATAGTTTTAGATAAACAATTGGTCAGAACAAACAAATTAAAGAAAACTGATTTAGCTGCAAAAATAAACGAGAATTTGTTAACAGTATTCTCAAACACAAATATTATCTGAATTGAAATCTTAGATTTGTAATTAGGGAGAAAATAGTTGAAATCTTACAACCTGAATCGTTAATTCATACCCGAAAACCAAAAATAAAATAAAATTTCTCCACTGATCAGTGAAAGGTAACAACTCAAACTTTTAATGATAACAAGTTGATTTTAATATATTATTGTTAGCATAAATTTAATATTGATTTTCACCCTTCTAATATTCTTATGCACCTCAAATTGATTTGTGTTATTAGAAGAAAAAAAACGACTAAGCACACTGTAGATTATTAGATACCAGAAGACAAGTTATGGTATATATTATTATTCTATAGATCAATGGAAAAAAAATACATTTTTTATTTAAATACAATTTTAAACATTTATTGTATAAGATAAGAGACTATATATAATAAATAGTGATTAGAAATCATAATTATTTATGATATTAATACATTATATTATATTTTACATATTTTAATAAAAATTATTATATATAATTTTTATCTTATGTAATGTTGAGCTAAAAAAAAATGATTTAAATAAAAGGACAGAGTAGAAATATAAAACAAAAAAACACTTAATCAAATAAAGAATTGAAATCTTATATCGTTTTAAATCGATTATAACACTTATTTAAATTCACGATAAAATAAATGAGTTATTTTTATAGAATCATGCGGTGAGAATTGTGTGCTCTTTTTTTAGTGAACTTAAGATTAAAAATTTAAAGTATGTTTAATTTTTGTTTTAAAAGTAATTATTATTTTTTAAATATTTTTTAAATAAAAATTAAAACATTTTTTTCTTTTTTTTTTCCAGTAAACTAATGTTTGTTTTAGTTAAATTTACATGACTAAAATTGGCATGGGGTGAAATAACCAAAATTGAAGCAAATATAATGATATTTTCATATTTATGTGTGGGTCACGCAGGTGAAATTACATATCCCTCCTAAAATAGTTTCTGTTAATTATTTTCTTCTGCTAAAGCAATAAAATTATCACAGCATATTTTATGTAAAGCTTTTTTTTTTTTACATTTCATTTATATACTAAATTATTTTTTTATTTTCATTTTATTCATTTTTATTTCACTCTTACATCTAAACAAAATATAATTCAAGTTTAGTACGAAGGAAATACAAAAGTTAAAATCTACAAAAATATTAATAAAATTACATTGAAAATCGATGCTTGAATTGTTTTTACCTACAAATTGATTACTCTTAATCATAAGCTAACTTCTAATTAGATAGGTTCTAAAGACATATTTCACATACTTGTATACAAAATACATGTTGATGCGAAAAATTACACGTGAGTAAAAGTTAAAATTGATTTTTTTTTTCCAAATATAATTATATCTATACATATTATAGTCTCTCATCAAGTTATAGATTTTTTAGTTTAGCTATTTGTAAACTTAAATTAACAACAAAATCTCAAAGCCATGAAACAAATTTCTTGCATTTATATTTGTTTATATTTTTAAATATTTTTTATTTTAAAAAAATCTTTTCAAAAATACAAACAAACATATTTTTAGTATTTTTTTTTTAACATTTTAGCTTCTTTCATAATTTTAATATAACTTAAATATAATTTTAATATTTATAAATGTAGCACATTTTATGATAAATTTTTATAAAAATTTTTGCTAAAATTTGTTTATTAAGATATAATCTTTAAAATATTAAGAGATTAGAATTTGATATTGTCATCAACCTTTTTTTTGTTAAACTAATTGATAAAGAGCAGTTTAGCACTTCTACATCATTGTTATGTCAATTAATTTATTAAATATTTTAGGTATAGTTATGTTTTTGATATTTATAAATATAGTATGTTGTGTGATAAATTTTTATAAATATTTTTTTGTTAAATAAAACATAGTTTCTAAAGATTATGATTTAGTCACTATTATTAATCATGTGCTAAACTGACTTACATGAAATGTAAAATTCTAAATTATATTTCATTCTTGAATAAAAATATGTTTATTAGTTTATTTCATTTATTTTATGACCAAAACAGAAAAAATATAAGATTACATCAGGATTTTGAATCAAAAAGAATATTTCAAAAAATGACAGATATTTTCATTCTATTAATAACCAAATTGAATTTGGTGTATCATAAAGAATTTACCTTTTTTGTTGATTTTTCTGGATTAGCTCTTACTACTATGTAACGTCACATTATTTAATTATTAAATATTTTATTATTTAAAATTAATATTTATAAATAAATTTATAAATAAATTTTAAATATTTATGAAAAAAAGTCTCTTAAAACTTTAATTTCATTTTTTTTTCGCGCTTCTTCTCTTTCCTTTGTCTCATTCTCTAACTGTTTTTGAGATTTAAAAAGATGTATATTTTAGCATAGCAGTGTTCTGAAAGACTTGTATCTTGTTGAATACTATGATATAAAGCTTACTGGTAAAACACTGGAAATCAATATCAATTAAT